TCTTAGGGTGTACAAAAACAAGCAACTGGATAGATAGGCCTGGAGACCATACTTCACAAATGCCTAAAAATGCAATGTTCTCAAACTCTGGTCTGCATAAGGATTCACTAGGACATTTACTTAAAATGTAGGTTTTTTTTTTTTTTGTTGTTGTTGTTTAAGAGGTCATCTTTCAATATATAGATGTATTGGGATAGGTTCAAAGCCCAAGAGAGCTGCATTCTAAGTACAGTACTACTGAATTTTCGCTTGCCAGGTAACAAGTACAAAATTTTTCGGTGTAGAACAGTGTCTGTCAAATGTAACGGGAAACCTTCAGCCACAGAGTGTTACAAGGTCACTTTGGAGGTAGTTCAGCAAGATACTCATGATAATCTCATCCACAGCTTAAAGGCCTGGATTTCATTTAGAGCCCTGGAGGTGATCAATACAAGGTAGGGTTGCTATTACCATGATTATCTTAAGGATCTATGTTCAAGACAAACACTCTTAAATTGCTCCTCTCTAGGCCTGCTCTTTGAAAATATCTGTCACTCTAAACCTCCATGGCCAAGACACTGTGACATGTGACACAGCATACTTTAACTCTGTTACACCTATAAAAATAAATTGGTAAAGCCAATATATCACATAAAAGTAGCCTATATTTTTTTTTTTTTTTTTTTTGACTGGGGAACGAACACAGGACTTTTGCACAGAGATACATCCCCAGCCCCTTTTGATTTTTTAATTTTGAGACAGGATTTTGCTAATTCAATAGGTTGCCCAGGCTAGGCTTGATCTTGTGATCTTCCTGCCTTAGTTTCTCAGCACGCTGGGATTACAGGCCTGTACCACTACACCTGGCCTTTTTTGCAGTTTTTAATGATGTTCATAATCACTAAAGCTCATTTTTTGTTTAATGGTGAAATATTAACTCTTAGAATTCAGGGATCTTACTTGAGAACTATTCTTGTTTAGAATTAAACACCAAACCAAATTTGAAATATACTGAATAATAAAATCACTAAAATTTAGAAATTCAGAAGATGAGAGGATAAAGGGCTTTCTAAGCACCGGTCAGAATTCTGCGGTTTGGAACCCACTCATGCATCATCTGAATATTTATCTGTTCTATGGTAGATAAAGATTTATTTTAATCCTACTGTATTTGTTACAGTAGATTTGTCCCTTTCTCTTTCTCCTGTTTGCTGACTTTGTGTTTGACATGACAGCAGGGGTGCTAAGGAAGAGAACTAGATTGTAAAACTGTGGTTAATGATAGAATTATTTTTAAAAGGTTGGAAAAGATGTGTTCTGATGTCTGACCTTCCTGGTGTGCTAAGCCCAGACATATGAGGAGATCAAAATGAGCAGCAGAACATTTTAAGGTTAGAGAACAACTTCTATAATAAATTAGTCCCTTTGTATATCTCAAAATTGAATTAAATATAGCATTCAGCCACAGCTTGGGCTATTGCATTTGCATGAGGTATGGGGCTCCAGCGTTGGGATGTGCAAGCCAGTGCTTGGCACAGTTCATGCAGAGTCAGAATGGTTTTCTCTGTCTTTATTCTGCTTTATGGAGCAGATTTCTCAATTGCATTTCTCAGTTTATGTTAATATCCTCCTCAGAGACCTAGTGGTACGGCTGTCCCCTCTGTATACGCCGTGCTTCTCATTAATGCTAATGGGAGTCAGAACCAACCACTGGGAGAAAAATGGTCTCCCAAATCCCTCTAACCTTACTCTGAGTTACAGGATTGTTAACTTCTGTGAACGTACTGACCAGAGCAAGCGCATAGCTGTCCCTTTCACCCCTCATCTCACCTAGAGGAATAACGCAAGAGTCAGAGAACTCTGTGAAAAAGCTGACCACAGCTGAATATCAGCAACTAAGCCCAGGAAGATCTCTGTGTTGAAGCAGATGAGTTCTACAGGAGTCCCTCAGCACAGCATAGTGTCTCCTCACGGCCACACTTGCGGCCATCTGCCACCTTCTCACCAGGCTCTGCCTGCTCCAGGTCTCCTTCTTTCTCACATCTTTTAGAAAATTTCAGTTTCTAAACTGTTGTGTGTGTAAAACCTGTGTCCACCACAGATAGGACATTCCAATTCTGTGACATGGTCCTTCCCTCAAGTACACCAGTGTCCCTGTGAATCGCGTTTCCCATCTTTACTTATTCAAATACCACCTTCATCATTTTTTGTGCATCTACTTTTAGCAGTGCACTTCATACCTTTCTGTATGCTGACTCACTTTTTTCTTTAAATGTATTTTAAAATATTTTATTGCCACCGAGAGAAAACTAACGTTTTCCAAATATAAATGGAAAGAAACAAATAATTTCTAAAATAAAAAGAAACTTTAACTGTAAACTGCCTAAAACTATTCTTGTATTATATTTGGGAAATTCCTGTTCACATTTTACTAAAAGGCAAGAATTATTTAGTTTGCTAAAATAGGTATAAGTTATTATCTCAGCAGTATTTGTAACCGCCCAAAAATAAGGTGACCATGACATATTTCATCACTAGTATATTTTTAATCTCTGTTCAGTCATTTAGTATAGGATTAGCAGCAAGGCACTGCACAGTTGGTTGGGAAAGATTTGTCCCAAAGTTGGTGGTATCATTGGGATATGAACTCTGAAGGGAAAGAGAGGTCTTTCATTTTTGACAACTCTATTGCAAGGCAAGGAAACCAATGCATATAAGAAGCATGATAATCAAATACATGCCACACCTTGCTCTCATGTGTGAAAATAGTCTTTCTCATGTGTGAAAATACAATCCAGAAGGTCATATATATAATTTATACTTAAGTGTTTATAACTTTCACACTCCTAGTCATTTCTGCATGGCAGCCTCACTTGTCTTTGGTAATTACTCTTTTGGAGTAGAAACTTCATAAATGTTCACTTCAGTATGCTTTATAATGTACGCAGAGCTACTTATAATATACATAACACCCACTACTAATAGAGTTTATGTGTCAGGCACTGTCTTAGTTACCTTTCCTTTGCTGAGACAAAATAGCCTAGCTCATAGTTCTTAGAGGTTTCAGTTCATAGTTGGCTGGCTTCAAGGCAGGGTAGCATAACAGACAGGTATTACAAAGCAGAAGGGGTTTATGATGGGCAGAAAGTAGTAAAGCAAACAAGGGGGTGATCATAGCTCTTTCTATCCCTTATATCTTATCCAGGCTACTTAGAGGGGGTAGCACTTATTCCTTTAATCCTAGTGCCCTTGAGCCTAGCACTGCACTGTAAATCAGTCACACATTGTAGATCCAGGAATCTTTGACAAAGCCCCACCTACGATCACCTGAGGCTTTGGGGGGATATTTCGACACAAGCCATAAGAGACACCATGCTTATCATTCAACATGCAATACCATATCACCAAAACCACACTATAGTTTGACACAACTATTATCCCCATGTAGGCTAAAATCTTATTCAGTGTCACAGAGATAGCAAATGGGAGAAATGAGGTTCAAATCAGATCTCTCTGCCTCAAATCCCTGATCTTTTATTACAGTTTAATATAGTTGCCTAGTATTCTGTCTCCATAACTGGCGAGTCATCTATAAAAGGTCCAAGCTCTGCCTATGAAACCCTGGGGTCTTTCTCGGTCTTAGTCTATCACTAAACTTCCTTTGGCAGCTGAGATAATCACACGTTACTGAAGATTTCCAGTGGGCATTGTGTTTTGTAAATATTATCTGGCCTTTTTTTCCTTGGCTCTCTGAAACAGAGTGAATACACACACTAATACGCTGATGCTGTTGCTCTGAGGGAATAATTAATACAGTGAAATAGTTGGAGTCCATTTAAATACAGATTTAGTTCTAACTCTTGGAGTTCAAATTTTTTATCTGCACAAAGTATGTTCATCATTAAAAAAACCTTTTAAAATGGTAGTAAACATCTAGGCTACAATGACCCTTAAATATACAATTAAATGATTTTTAGCTTCTTTGCTTGAATTATAATTGAGTTGAATATTCTTTTTTGAATATTTTTTATTTGCCTTGGGCTATCTTACTTCACAGGGGAAGCTACAAACGGGGCAGAAAGAAATAATACGATATGACTTATCTGTATCTATTACACAGAAACAAGAAAAAAGGGCCCCAAATTCCTGGTACAGTATGAGAACCAAGAAGAACTGCCGTCAGGATTGCTAGGTTCATGTCCTTCATCGATGGTGACCTTGAACAAGCCACCAAACTGAGTGTCACCTTCTGCTTCTTCAAAGCAGCCCCAAGATCCCTTCAATTTAAAAATCCTGTGACTTGGCAAGATATAAAGTGATAGAAATGCAAATGAAATGTAAATTAAAATCTCCTCCTTCCCACTTCTCACTTCCAGTCTCTGCCACCAACCTGGTGTTGGGACTGTTGCATGTCATGAACTGTGCTAAGGGCATAAAGGACTTTCTGTCACAAAACATAAACGACCCAAACTGAGGTGTGTGGAAAACTTAATCTCCTTAAAACTGATAGGGTTGTCTGGGTGAGTCATACAAAGCATAGAGGCGACCAAAGTCTTTATTAATATAAGAAACCGCATTCCTCCCTCTGAATAGTAAGGGCACATCTTTTAAAAATCACCAATGTCATTGTTTAAACAATGTCTTCTAAAAATAGTGCTCCAGTCAGGGGTTTTTAATTTATTAGCACAGTGTTCTAGACATGAGTTTCAAATCTATGGAGACTCGAAAGAAATTTAATTAAAGGACTGAAGATAACATTAGTTACAATACTATAATAGATACAATGGCTGTAATTCTCAGAATTGTATTGGATGATCCTGAAATAAGATAGCCTTTCAATCATATTCATTACCAACAGTGCTCAAAGGATTATTAATCATATTATGTTTGGTGTGATGAATTAATTTAGCAACACAGTGATATCTGTACATATTAAGAAGAATAATACCACATCTATAGATTACATTAGTAGAGGTGGGGAAAGATGTATTAATCCACGGGTTCTTTGGGTGAGCCATTACCTTTTACTATTAAGTTTCCAGTACTGCTGGCAGTTCCAAAATGGTTAGTCGCTATGCAGGTATAGCTTCCAGCATCTGATTTAGTCACATTGATGATTCTGAGGTTTCCATCTTCAGAAATGGTAATTCTGAAACAAAAGTAAACAAACCAACATTGGCGAAGTTTATCACACGATTCTTCAGAAATTCTTTGTCTTTCTGTCCTCTTTCAAACTATAAATCATGGCTATATTACTTGACAGCCTCATTTTTAGGATGCTTGGCTACATATGCATAAACATTAGTGGAATGTGTGACTTTATGCTTCCTGTACTCTTATTGTTAAAAAATGCTCTTAAATCTCTGTTTAAATTATAAATATTGAGTAGGTCACAACCATTTCTCTTACTTTGGTACCCACCACTAGTTTTAAAACTGCTAATGAAGAATAAGAAAAAATCTTTTGACTGACTTTTTTTATTTTAATTTTTTAATTTAAAAAAAAGAAGAAAAGAAAAAAAAAAAAAAAAAAAAAATAGAACAGTAGCAGCATACCAGTATCACGAACATAAACAAATCAAAGCAAGAACATTCAAAGTGATACAGGGTCTCAAGACAAATTAATACAAATCAACAGTGCTTGTTACATTGCATATCACTATCCTCAATTACATTGCTCAGATTATCAGATGTAAGAATGAAAGACTGCTCAAACCATTAAAGAGATTAAGAAAATAATTCTTCAATAAAACCTTAGAGATATTTGAGAGTTTCACTAGACAAGATGGTAGGAGTTCACCATCGTAATTCCATTGCACATTGTTACCTTCAAAGAAAATGCTTCTTCTAAGTGAGAAGCTTAAATGAGGTATGATTATTTCTGAAATATGTCAGCCAATACATTTTAGCTGAACCTAAAAGATTGAAAATATTCCACAATTTATGTTAGGCTGGCAGGATAGCAAATGTAGATGGCACATCTTAGGCCCTACAATTAGGGACAAATATCTATTTCCTGCTGGGATGGAAATGGTTTTGCTAATAAACACAAGAGTTGAAACAGGAAAGATTTTAGAGAACCCTGTTTGCAGCATGACTACATGAAGAAGAATAAAATACAAAGATATGTAAGACAAGTAGCCTGGCTTAGAGGACAGATGGAAAAACAGGTTCACAGATAGCCCACTCCAGGTAAATTTCAGTTAAATTTGTACTCTGTATTTCAAATCACCACTTCTTTCTATCCCCCTTTTCACCGAGTCTATTGGAAGAACTCCTTACTTGGTCTGTCTACTGCCACTCTTCCCCTGAAATCCATTCTGCAGCCAGTGGCCTGATGTTCTCTTAGAACATAAACTAGATTTCACCACTGCCCGGCTTAAAGATCTATCTTTGGCTCCCCGTGGAACTCTGAATCACTTCCTGACTAGAGCCTACAGTAGGTTTAAACAAAAACAAAAACAACAAATAAACCTTTCTGTTGCCTACTTTATTTCTTGCCTCAAATGACCTCTAGTCACACCGTGCTTCCACAAGTTCCTCAGTACCTGAAACTCTTTCCCACGTCAGGGCCTTTGCCCTTGTTGTTCTACGTACATTGAGCACCACCGCCCTTCATCGGGATGTAGCTGGCACTTTCTTCACCTCAACACTTCAGCTGTGAGGTAGCTTTATTTGCAGACCGCTGCTGTCCACCTTCTAAAGTGGCTCTCCATGTTAGTCTATTTTCCTGAAGCCACTTTATTTCTTCCCACCAAACAAAATCTAGAACTAGTTTTGATACTTGTTAGTGGTTTTTACCACATGAAATACTGACTTTTCTGAGGGCAGGGGCAGTTTTTGTCTCATGACTGAACTTTCTGGATCTGGGACACAGGGTTGCACATAGTAGACATCCTCTAAGTATTTCTTAAGTGGTTGAATGAATGATTAAAGAAAGAAATATTCTAATAGAAAAATCAACAATGTATTGAGGAAATTTAGAGTGGCTGAGTCACAGGGTGCTAGCACCGGTCTTAATAAAGTCCTTTTCAAATATTTCAACAAAGGGGTGTATGGCGAGCAGAGCTTCCCTTCCTAGAATTTGTCCTGAAGCATTTTAAAAGTGCAGGTGAAGATTTAGATTCTCCAAGTGACCGATGCTGTGGGTATATTTGTGAAGCCTGTTGTGGATGGAGAAGATATAGCCTTTCTGAGGACCACTTTCGGTTTCTTGTAATTTAGTTGGCCAGAAGTTGTGAAGGTGAATGAATTCAGAAGGTTTCTGAAACAAATAGGGATGAATGTTCCTGTCAGAGTTCTGTTACCTGTACTTGCTTAAGTTTCTCAGTTTTGGCTTCCTCATCTATCAAATGGGACTAACAATCCCAACGTGATAGGTTGAAAATAAGAAAAGGGTTGGCGAGATTCCTAGCACTTTACCTGGTATTTATTACGTAGTGGTTCTCTTTTTCTCTTAAAACTGTATCCTTTTATTAAGTCATTTGTACATATTAGGAAAGTTAGACATCTTAACACACTTTCTTTCAATAGAGAAATTGAATTAGTCTTCATTTTGTACATTGTCTACAATGTCCAATGATCTGAGATCAATATACAAATTAACACAGGCACCCCAAATCAGTGAAGAAGACACACAGTAGGAGCAAGTGAGGCTGTGGTTGGGAAGTCTCCACCTGCTCTCTGGGAGAGGCCCAGGGTGCAGGCAGTGACCTCTGGGCTGCACGGTTGAAGCACACCACCTGTGCAGGCAAGGGAGCCGACCTGGTGCTAGAGCTGCCCCTGTGGGAGCAGCTGGACTGACACTGCTGCTGCAGGGTTCATGGATCTTTCCATTTTAGAAGCCATAAAACATACGCAATCTCAAGTAAGAAAGTTTTTAGAGTCACCAGAATCTGCTTTCATTGATGGCTATTAAAGAGTACTTTGAAGCCAAAGCAACAAATGAAGAAGCAGCATTAATAGTAGATATAATTCCTACTGGCAATATAGAAAAAAAAATACTAGGTGGTCATTGGGGCTGGGGATATAGCTCAGCGGCACAAGTGCTTGCCTGGCAAATGCAAGGTCATGAGTTGAACTCCCAGTACCAAAAAAAATTAATAATAAAAGAAAAGAGATGGTCATTGAAGAATTCTGCTCCTAAATCCCCCAGTGAAAAGGAACCTGTCCTTACACAGGAGCCCAAATCAACAAAACTAGAGTCAATAGAACATCAAGCATAAAGAAAAAACCTCAAGTAAATGTATGAATTTTAAGTTCATATTACTTTTTGTCCATGTGCATTTTTTCATAAAAAAATCCTCAAAATTATAATTTTAAATACTGCTTTTGCATAAATTAAATCAAAGTGTTGGTTGCAAAAAATGATACAGATGAGGACTTTGCTCATTCGCACCACAGAAACACATAACAGTTGCTCAATAAAGACCATCTGATACCTCATTTGCCAAAGAGCAGATGTACTGACAAAAATAAAGTAGTGATCATATCTTAATTGCCTCAATAATAACAGAAATAACTTTCAAGGAGTTAATCATATTTCTATTTATAAAATAATTTGCTGTAAGTTGCAAACTGTTGGCATATGAGAACTCAGTAACTGAGGTGATATTTGGGTTTTAGATATGCATGCATCTCCCACGATATAACATGAGTCTGAGGCATATAACATGCTTGGAGGGGTACGCTGACTCTTCCAAAAAACAAAGACCCATTAAAAATTTATTTCAGTTAAAATGGTACCATTGTAATGCTAAAAACCTAAATCTATTTCATGTATCAAACTCTAAAATGCTAATGGATATGAATAAACAAGTAAAGGAGATCTTATCAGATGACTTTGGTCCTAACCTTAACCCTGATACCTGTCAAGTACATCACCTGGCCAAATTATTCGTCATCTAAGAGCTGGTTGCTCAACCTTGGAAGTACTGATATTTTGGAGTAGATAATTCTCCATCTTGTGGAAGATATTAAGCAGCATCCTAGTCCTCTACCCGCTAGACCACGGCTGCTTGGCTCCCCCTGCTGTGTTGTGACCACCAAAAGTATCTGCAGACATTGTCAACTATCTGCTGGGAGAGGTCAAAATCACTTCAACTTGCAATACTGGTCTACATCAATTTGTTTTTAAATTTTTAATCTCGGAGCTGGGGATTTAGCTCAGCGGCACAGCGTCTGCCTGGCAAGTCCAAGATCATGAATTCGATTCCTGGTACCAGAAAAAAAAATTTTTTTAATCTCATAGGATATTATGATGAATATCATCTATACTGATGTAAGATACATGAAAAATTCTATTAACTGAAAAGTGTCTACAAGTATTTTTCCCACCATCATTTCCACTGCTGCTTTTGATATTTCCACTGCAACGTGCTGTTGCTACTCCAGCTGTGAGACCCAGCTAGCTCTTCACATTCAAGCATAAGGCACTCTTTTCCTCTTCGCCTCAAAGCTTCCATACCCAACTTTGTATGGCCTTTATGAAATGATACAGTAATTTTACAAACTATTGTACTATTCATTTTTATAATTCAATGCCTAACATTGTGCTTTAATCTTCCTTTTTTATTCACAAAGAGGTAAGATTTTAAGCGTTAGAAAGCAGACAAGAGAAGGTCAATGAGGGAGATCATTTGTAGAAGGGGTAGCTTTCACTAAATCTCATGATACTGCTATATCTGCCGATTATTCCTAGGTCTAATCCAAAGGAAGGGGCAACATGATATTCCAGGAACTGTTCTTTTGTGAAAAGTCAACTACTTCCTTACCCAAGCAATATTGTTTAGTGGCTAGGAACATAAACTCCAAAACTAAGCCACACTTAAATCTAAATCTTAGTTTAGTTTTATGTCTAAAGCTCAACTCATGCTACTTATGAGACATGTGATTTTTGGTATATGACTATATCCCTGTATGTATTTCTTTATTTTTTAATTTTAATTTTAATTTTTATTAGTACATGCTTGTAGTGCACGATGACTGCATTCATCCTGGGGGTGTTGGTACCCTTACATAACACATCTTAATTCTTTTTTATATCCCCTTTCCTTCCCCTGTTTCCTTACTTGATAAAGTGGAATAACAAAAGAAACTATATGGTAAGGTTGCTCGTAGGTTGTACAGTACATAAAATGATGCCTGGCAC